CAAACAAGTGGAGCAGTATTGGTGAAGCAGCATGATGTGTCTGGAGAGCCACAGTTGTGAGATGGGCAGAAACACAGAGTCATGAAAGGCGGGCCAAGGGATGGGTGTGAAGTGGTTGCCAAGACTGGGAGAATCAGACATGAATTTGGCCAGGAAAGGCCTTGATAGTCATGTTGAGTTTCTACACTGTCATGTGGGCCACATTCATATGAACTTTGTAAGCTCTGTGAACACAGTGAAGAGCCATTGATAAAGTCAGGCAGATGTAAGGAATAGCATTTAATAGGTGCCTGCTATGGACCAGTTGCTTTTACATATATAATCACATTTAATTTTCATGAAGCCATAATAATGTTGGTGATATTATTCCCACTTTATAGGTGAGAAAGCTGAGGCTCAGAGAGTACACTGGAGCCAGGATTTAGAAATCTAAAACCTGCACTGTTTCCAGTCTCTCAACTCCACCATATACTAGTTGCAGGACCAGGGGAAAGTTATATAACTCCTCTGAACAGCAGTTGGTTCACTCATAAAAAGCAATTAAATGACTGCTTAGATTCTGGTGAAAGTTAAATGAGAAAAATTCATGGAAAGTGCTTACCATGTAGTAAGTTTTCAATACATGTTGGTTATGACTATTATTCTACCTTGGTAGAAATATACCCATAGACATAATTATCTGTTTAAGGCCCATGGGCAGGCTCTGCTCTCTGGGTCTACCTTTTTACATCCTCTGGTCTTAGCCGGTACGTTGTCCTTACCCTCGTAACTCTGTTACTCTGTGTGACTGCATTGGACTTAGAAACTGACCCACATCTCCTTTGTTCCTCGATATGTTCACTGCCTCTCCTTTCAACACCAGCCTTCATATTGTGAGCCTTCCCTGGCATCCTGATCCTCCTTTCACTTTGCTTCCTTCCTTGGCAGTTTGACTTTGAGAGTTTTCTCCAATAGGTTACTCAGTAGTCAGGGCTCAAATTTCTTAGCCTGGAAGCTCTTACAGTTGTAATTGGTATTAGTTATGATGCAATTTTTGATCTCATACTCTTTAAGGATCATACCAAAGCAGAACTGGATGCATGGAAGATTGTTCGAGTTAGTGAAAATTTCCGAGTGATTGCTTTGGGCTTGCCAGTGCCTCGGTACTCTGGGAATCCATTAGACCCCCCTCTTCGTTCTCGATTTCAAGCCAGAGATATTTATTATCTACCCTTCAAGGTAAGTATGAACAGGATGATTTATTTTTTAAATATTTTTTCTATTCATAATAAATTCACTTACTATGGAAATGTTACTATGTTTATAGATGTCCTTCTCACTAGCTAATGGTAAGGAAAAAGGATATAGGGTGAAGAAGTATTATATATGTCTCCTTTACCCCCATTGACTCCTCCCCTGCCAATCCCACCCCCCAGCACATGCCCTCATCCCCCTAGTGTCTGTGGCCATTGGTTATGCTTATATGCATCTGTACATGCCCTTTGGTTGATCTCTTACACTTCCCCTCCACTTTCCCTCTGAGGTTTGACAGTCTGTTTGATGCTTCTCTGTCTCTGGGTCTCTTTTTGCTCATCAGTATATATTGTTTATTATATTCCACAAATGATGAGATCATGTGATATTTATCTTTCTCCAACTAGCTTATTTTGCTTAACACAATACTCTATATTCATCCATGCTATTGTGAATGGTAAGACTTCTTTCTATTTTACAGTAGAGTAGTATTCCATTATGTAGATGATGTACCAGAGTTTTTTTAACCCACTCATCTGTTGATGGGACTTAGGCTATTTCCAAATCTTAGCTATTGTAAATTGTGCTGCTATGAACATAGGATGAATGTATCCTTTCTGATTA